TTCGAGAGCTGAAGTGATATCTTTATTTTCGGATGCGAATTAGGAAACCTGTGGTGATATCACTGTTTAAAGATCACTATTTGGTGCCTGAATATTCGGATGATGGTTTCGTTTCCGAAGACGAGTTAGAGGAGGAATCTAGGCGTTCTAGAATCCTCGGTCAACCGAACAAACAATGATAAACATGTGCCGCACGTGGAAGCTTCGAGATACCGCTTTTTATTTCCAATAATCTATTAAGTTGTGAGTCCAGTTGCATTTATTGGTAGATCAATTGAGTTCCGTGATGAAGAGGATTGATGGTGAATTTGGGAAACCCACCAAATAGGTTCATTGCAGCGAGCCATAACTATTGATCTTGTTTTATTGTGCATTAGGGGTTCTTTGTGTCTCATGCTGTGATAATCGAAGAAGGAGGTCTGGATAAAAATACTCCCGTACCTCGCAGAATGACGGCTGAGGATCTCCTTTCCACCATGACATGTCATCTCATCTCATCAAGACATGATAATCTTAAGTCCTAGCTTTGAAACAGTATTGTGTTGTGAGTCAAATGCATCAAGCTTTCAGATGTATCAATTTTGGTGGTGCATAACAATGTGTTGCAGTGCGATTGGTTGGTAAGGTCAGGGGTAGGTTAGTGTGGGCTCTCCTGCCTTCTTTCTGACAATCTATTATCGCGAAATGCACATTCTTGGGGCTACAATATATATGCAATTCTAAACGAAAAAATCTTGGGATCGGTAATGTTACAATAAAGTTGAGGCTCTGAAAAGGAGTTCAGTTCATAACGTGGGTTTATTAAGCGAGGAGGTGAATGAAATCGTGAGCCTGTGGTCAGGCGGCAGCGCTTAGCTCTAACACCAATGAAGTAAAACTACCGGATAAAACTGACAGGGTACGACCGCCAGCCTTCGACATTTTTTTACTCGACCAGAAAACAGTGATTGCTTTGAGTTATGCCCCCGGATGGCCGTAAGACACGGGCTGATAGTATGCCAAAGTATTTTAAGATCTTACACAGGCCGCACCTCTTTTGCTGCTTGCGAGCAGAATCTAGGAATTTTGGACAACGAATTAGTGTAAGTAGAGATATGGTAGATATAGAGAAATTCCACGGTAGAACATACTAGTTTCATGATCTGCCATGCTATTTTGTTTGCTGAATTTTCTTTTGCCTCTGTTTGGGAGATAGGTGCTATGCTTCTAGCGTAATGATCTTCTTCACACTTCTATATCTCTCACTTTTTTTTCTTCTTAATTTTCTATCACAACCTTCAAGATTGGCTGGTTCCGGTGTCTGTTTAAGCACTGATACGTCCTCTCAATAAGTATGGCCGTAGATGTTGGTGCCATGGTGAGCCCAGACGGGTTCGAGGAGGTTATTTCAGATGTCTCCATTCCTTCATGGTTTATGGACAACTGCGTCAAAACCGCTTTGGAGTCGAGCCAGGAAGCGCGTCGAATTGTCATCCTTCCGCCAAATTCGCTCAATCATGCCGAAAAAGTCAGAGATACGACAACAGATGGCCAGGCATCTCAGGAAGAAAGATACGAATTGGATTCTTTCTTGTACGATGAACTCTTCAACCTGATCATGCCAAAACAAGAGGCTGAGGGCCTTAAATCGACCTTGAGCTCAGACAAAACTCCCAAGTTTGCGCTCGATGCTGTTCAGCTTCTTCTCCCTGGAGGATTCCATGCTTTTCTTGGCCAAGAATTCTTGGCAGAGGTGGTAAAGAAGTTTGCTACTGATGTGCAAGCGGATTTGATTGAATTGAATATCGACGATTTTAGAGATTTGGCAGAGCATTTCGGAAAAGGAGAAGATTCAAAAAACCAAGATGATCAAAGAAAGGGTGACGATTACTATCTCAATCTACTCTACGATCGGTGTATGTGTGTGGAGCTCTGCTGCCCGGCTTCCTCTGTCTGTAGTACATCATGGCCCTCGTCTCCAGTTACAAGGAGTGAGTCTAGTGATAGTGCATTTGAAAATAGTGAATCTAGTGTTGAAACGACAAATTCCCAGGAATATGGAGTCAAATGCGTGAAAAGAACAAGAAAGCTGTCCGACAAGCTATTCTTCTTATCGCAGTACCTAGGTCTTCTGACATTCGCCACAGTACTTGTATTGGCGGTGATTTCGGTTTTGACAGGCAGCATTATTTTCCGTCACAAACTGATGTGTCAAAAGAAATCGGGAATCTGCAACGAGATGTGTGCAACTTTATCTCAAGACGAAGAGGATCTGCCGTCAGTTGATGAACAGTTGGAAAGCAAGGAGTCGGTAGTAGGATATGGATTGCAGAAGATCCACCAAACCGAGCCTTTCCTTAAAAAACCAGAGGAAAGCGAAATTGACGACATGGGAGATTCTCAGTATACTACCCTGTTGAAGAAGGTTATTGAGTCTCATCTGTTGAAGAAGACTCTGAGCAGAACCGAAGAGACAGAGGACGTAGGATCACCAGCGCTGGTAATTCTCGTCTCAGGCGTTGGCAGGTTTGGTAGTTACAAAAAGTATCTTCAGGTGTTCAAACATTTACAGGCCGCTATCAGGGCTTTATCGAAAGAAGATACGATCGTTATGATGTCAGGAGGAGACGACGATGGTATTCTTGAGTCTATCAGTAATCACACTCAAAAAGGAGCTTTGCGCATGTTCACTGCCAGAAGCCAGGCACAGTATAGACTTCTCGAAAAAGATAAGGAGAAGGCAAGATTGAAAGAAAATATAAGACACTTGCAGCGTTGCATTAGAATGTCGCCAGAATCAAAAACGTCACCTTTGGCACGGCCTTACGCTGTCGATTGGGAGACTTTCATTCCAGATGCTACCTTGCGGGCTATGCGTCGCCATTTCTTTCCTTGGGATAACATAGAGATTATTGCCCGAACGATAGCGAAACGTCAATTAGATATTGACTCTATGAAGCTCGTCATGGAAATATATGAGAAGCGAAGTGAAGCAGAGAAGCAGTGGCTCGAGAATCACGAAGATGAGGATGATCAAAAAGCGCCGTGGAAGTCAAAGCTCCCCCGACGGGCTTGGAGCATAGCGGAACAGATATCGAGAAGTCAAGAAGACGAGCATTTGTACCAATTGCTCGACACTGTTGTCAGTCCAGGTAGTTATGCCATCACATTGCGTGTCTTGATCATAAAATGAAATTCTCACACTTCCACAGGCGATCTTAATACAACTTGGTCAAACATCGAACTTGACCCAGATATCAAGGCCCGCATTACAGATCTAATCTCACTCGGAGAATCTCAAAAAGATTCCTGTGGAATTCTCAAGACTTCCGCGGGAGGCGCACTACTGTACGGTCCTCCAGGGACTGGTAAGACACAACTCGCAAGAGTACTTGCAAAGACCTCTGGATCAATTATGCTTAGTGTCTCTGGCGCCGAGATGGAAAGCAAGTATGTTGGTGAGACTGAAAAGCTTGTTGCAAGCTTGTTCAAGCTTGGAAAGATGCTTTTTCCATCTATCATTTTCATCGATGAAGCGGACTCTTTATTTAGTTCCCGAAGTCAAGGTGGATCAGGTTCAATTTACCAGAGAAAGCTCGTCAATCAGCTACTACAAGAAGCAGATGGCCTCTCCAAAGATTCAACTTCGCCCTTCTTACTTCTTGCAACAAATTTACCTCACCTGCTTGATCCTGCAGTGTTGAGACGAGTACCTTGTCGAATCTACATTGGACTCCCCACGATCTCAGCACGAGAGAATATGTTCCGGATGTTCTTGAAAGAAGAATCCTTAGATAGGAGTGTGGATCTAAAAAAGCTTGCGGAGGTAACACATCGGTATACAGGGTCAGATATCATGGCTTTGTGTGTTGAGACCGCTGTTATCTCACAACGAGAATATCGCAACACAGAAGCGGGTGAGGCTCTGGGTGTGAAGAGCAGGATAATCTTGAATATTTCACACTTTCACCAGGCGTTAAAAAGCAATACTCCTACAACATCTCCGCAACTCATGCAAGAGATGCGTCGATTTGCACAGATGTATGACAAATCTGCTGTATCAAGAATGGTGCTGTACCAGTATTGGTAGGAGTCGATGGTTGCCAATCAGCAAGATCAACGGGCGCAACATAAAACATACTGAAATAAGCGATACTTCGTTATTATCGTTGTATCTCTGGGGTTAGAGCGAGGGGTGGTGCTGATCCAGATGGGAACTGATTTGGGAGCGAAGTAATGAATTAATAGATGGATTGGGCACTGGGGATGATGATTGTATGTTCCAAGAGCTTGGCTGGAAAAAATGTTCAGACCTGGAAGTTGAACGTTTGACTATGATCGATGGAGAGTTTACGCTTTGATGATGAAGAATTATAATAGAAGAGGGTATCCTCAGGTAATCAGGTAATTTTTAATGAGCTTAGCCAAACGGTATAGTCAGCGATAATGGGTGTGTAAGTCGAAGAAAAGGGAGTGACTACATGAACGATTGGGTTGATTAGATGAGAGCCATAAAGAACTATCAGATTTGAACCTTAGTATCTCATGAATTAATGATATCGAAGATTTTGGTATACTTAGTTTTCACATAATGCATCAACAGCTTTCTCGAGCCCTTTACCGCTTTTTCTAATTTCCTAGAGCACCAGTGGGTGCATGGATTGATGGGGCACTTCCGAACTTTCGAAATTTTTAACAAATTCATTCTTCAATTGTTTGATATCAAAATTCACATTTAATTATTTCATTTCTAATAAACAATTGTACTGATTTTTAAGATATAGTAGTAGCAAATTCTTAATCGATTCAGTCTATCTATAGCTAGGCTATGTTTTTAAGATATAGGATTTGATATATTGAGAGATATTTACAAGTCAACTTTAGCAATGTCCCGTCAGTCCGTACACCCACTGGTGGAGCTGTAGTACCAATATCTCTTCCCAACTACTAGAAGTGGTTGTTTCCATCCATTGTTTGTGAGAACAATTGATGCATATCTAACTCAACACATTCATTTAGACCTAATAACCAGCCTTTCGAACGAAAAGAACATTCGAAAAAGAGCTATTCGACGCATCCAAAAGTGGGTGCGTCTCGACACCTTTAAGAGTCCAATCGAAGCACTCACGAACAGAAGAGGTAATATCATGAATCTCCCGAGGTCCATATATCGTATCAATGAGTGTCTCGAAGTAAGATTCATTGACTGATCGAACGCCAGCCACATCGATAACCAACGGTAGATCAGTGAATGAGTTTTGAATTGTCTTGAAGAGTTCAAGAGATACCCTTGGATCCTTCAGAGTCAAAAGATCTGTCGCATTTCAAATGCAGTCCATGATGGGTCACTAGCAATAGTTTGATTATCATGTGCAAAGAAAATGTAAGCTTCTTTGATTTCGGATGAGTTGCCAAGTCCAGTTGGCCCAACAGGAAGTTGCTATTTACCATCCAAGTTGCAACCTGCTACGTATTTGCCCGTTGTATCTGCTTGCAATACAGCAGTCTGAGATGAGGCTCCCAAGGAATGTCCGTACAGGCCAACAACCTCAGAAGTTTCCGAGAATACACTCGCGACGAACTCAATATCTTTGACACGGATACTTTGGAGATACACGCTAGTCGCGCCAGTTGGTGCTCCACTGGCGTACGCGCTGTAAATGATGGTTTCATCTGGAGACTCTACAATTTCTGCATCATATGGATGAATTATTGTCACAACGCTGTAGCCCCGGCTGGCAATTGCTTGTGCAATCGCACCGTACTGGAGACGGCTGGTATAGAAACCACCAGTCCAGATGAGAAGAGGTGTATCAGGCTTGATAGTTGGTGCTTCAAGGCAGATATCAGAAAATTTGATTTGAGAGAATATTGTCAAATCAGAGCTTGGGAGATCGTTCTCATTGAACCAATTTGCCACGGCAGCTGGCATGTAGTTGATTTCGCCAATGTTATCGCAATCTTCCCTGAGATATGGCTCATAATAGCCGACTAAAATTTGACGATATGGAGAAGATCCATTGAATGGGTTGGCCCGTGACGTATCGGTAAGCTCTGATACTGTGATTGTAGAAGCATATGGTCCTTCTGGAACAGGAAGTGGGACGGCGGTGGTATTGATGGAGGTCTGACAAGCGACAAGAGAGGAAATAAAAGACAGGAAGAAGACAGCACTGAGAGCAAGCGATACCATAGTTGAGAGTTCGTGGATATCGTCTAGCACAGATGATTCTCGTAGGAGAGAGAGTGGAAAGATGCGCCCTGACTACAATAAGCATAGAAAAGCTACTTCCTTAAAGCAGATATTGACTTTTGAGTATCACCAAGCTAGCTTCAAAGAAAGGGCAATAAAATTGTAGGAGCAAGAGGGAGTCATTAGTCTGCCGCGTGTCGACTTCGCGCGAATCACATAGACCCCTTAGAAACAATGGAAAAGGGGTGGAGGTGGAGCCGGGGCATACTCCCAAAGTCTACTTTACCTCCTCGTTGAGTCATTGCGGAGAATATAAGTTTTCTCAATGACACGAGCTCGAGACGAGGCTTTGAGAGCCATCGGGAGGGCTTTTTATGTCAGCCGAGGGTTCTCAGCTATGCGAATGTTAAAGAATCAATTGCCAATCCACAATAGACTAAGTTTGCTAGGTTTTCAGAGGTCACGTATTTTCAACTACAATACGGAGTAAAGCTCATCCCCATAACCGAACTTAATCGTGCGGGGACTTAAGGAATAAGCATTGCGGTTCTCACGGCTGCATACCCCCGTAGCTAAAAAGCACACAAGTATACAAACAATGTATTACCTTTCGGCCCTTCTTTCTAAACTGACACATTGCCACCTTAGCGAGCTTTCCCCATTGTTTCTTCTTGTGTCGGTCCCTAGCCAGTGGACCAGTGTATCGGGTATAATGGGATTTAAGCCACGATTTGGAATGTGTCTACGCGAGTGGGGGCTCTCAACTCTTCCCTTTTGCCCCGACCCTTCCACTAGCACTGACATAACACTGACATAAGCTAATCATCGAATCCATTTCGACTTCTGCGGGGGTGTAGGGTTTTGCGGAAACGGATTGCGGAGAACCAACCACGAGTCTTTCGCAAAATCTGCACTACTGTGGCATGAAGTAAACACTTTGGTACTGCATAAGGGCGGGGGAGGAGGATGTATGGTTGCTATAAAGATTTCCTATTAGGACCAAAGGTGGGATGACATCAGAGTTTCCAGTGCTTCCTACTGATAGTCATGGACTTTTGAGCCTCTCCCTCATGTGCTATGGCTACTGAATCATGCCAGCGAATGTATATTCGGGGCGAGATGCACTTTTCAAGTATCAACACCGAGCATCCGCTCATCCATCAATATAACAGTGAAAAGACACGGGAACGAAATCAGGACAAAGAACTGGATTTTGCGACTCACAGACTAGAGAATAAGGCATTTCAATGCATCGCGGAAAGTAACACTATGGAAGGGAGCTAAGTAAGTATTGTAACTCCGTATTTTATATCGGTGAGGTTCATGCATATACTTTGCATATATACTTCACGTTCATATCCCGGATGTAGAAATACACTTCATTGTGGTATCCGCGTAAGCCGTGATTACTAGTAGCCCCGTACCACGAACAAGGAGTGCCTCTGTACCTGTATTGAGATAAAAATGAAATATCAATGCAGCTAGTGGTAAGACGAGAGTGGTGGGCATGACTTCACTATTGTAGTACTGCAACCTTGCCGAGCATTCAACTTCAAAGGGCGCTTAGCTCTGGTTATCTTTCATTTCACAATGTGTATACAAGATCTCCAGATTTACCCCTAGTTTCCTATCTGATCGTCCATTTGCATTTACATTTGCGTCTGCATTTCTCAGATCATCCAATTTTGTATACATCAGACGCAGCTCCTTTTTAGGTGGCGAGTCTCGCTTTACTTGATCTTTCATTCACAACACCGACAAGATGGTTGGATTGGTTTAAGCAGTCGCTTCTGTCTTGGCTATTGGTTCTGGTTCATTGCTTGCGAATGCAGGACCAATAGTCTTGGAACCAAGAAGCACGAACGACTCGGAGACTTTCAGAATTAAAGCTTCGCTTGTAATTCAAACATTTAGTGGGATTGGTAAGCAGTCAAACAATCTACATGAATCAATAAGATAGCCGGGCAGAAATTTGACTAATATTCCCATAAGTTCACGGTGCCATCAACGAAAGTGTCCCCTTAACTCGACACGTTCTGGGTATTCCATACGCACAACTAACGTTAGGTAAAAACCGTTTCCGAAAAGCACAACCAATTCCCGCGTCCGCAGCGCAACAAATCATCCACGCCGATGCATTCGGCCCCAATTGCTCACAATACGAAGCAACCCCTGCATCTGTCTCTACACTGACGTGAGACGTGAATATTTCATCCAAGGTGTCAATGGGGATGATTGTTTAAGCGTCAGTGTTTGGGCACCATTGTATCCGACCGAGGACAAAGTCCCCGTGATCGTTTGGATTCATGGAGGTGGTCAGAACAGGTGGTTCATCTGTACTTTATCAGAATCCACAGCGATGGGTCCAACGTACCCAATCTCATATTGTCGTCTCGTTGCAATACAGACTGAACTTTTTCAGTCAACCAAACACGCCAACCGAGAATGCTGGGCTTTACATCTTTGATGCTAGAGCTGCTCTTGAATGGATTCGAGACAATATTGCCGCTTTCGGTGGTAATGCTTCGCGCATGGTACTTTGGGGTCAATCAGCTGGTGCTACTCTGACTGGAGCTCTCAGCATCGGTTGGCCAGATAATCCAATTGTCACTGGATTTATCCAAGATTTCGGCGCTGTCGAGGGCCAGGGTGTCCATACCGTTTATACTGATACCACTCACTCGAACTTTACATTTCTAGCAAATGAGCTTGGATGCACTGGTAATACTGCAAGTAAAACTGAGTGTATGAGCACTTATCCACAAGCTGATATCGAGGCGTTTATTCAATATTGGACTGATGCTGGCAAGACGCCTGAGCTGGGTTTCCAGTCATATAATGATAACAACAACACATTTGCGAACTGTACTGCTGCATATCTCTCTGGAAATTACGCAAAGTTACCCAAAATATTGGGACATAACTTAGTAAGCTCTTTTTCATTCTCGTCTTTCTTGCTTTCTCACTAGCAAGGAATCCCCCAAGAGTCAAGCCCACTAACTTGTCAAATCACAGATTGATGGAGCTTCCACTGCTACACTCTCCTCCGGCCCTCCTAACATCGAGGGACCAACCCCCCGAAAAGGAATTAGCGGCTACGTTACAAGTTCGTTGCGGCATCGTAGCCGAAGCGCAATTCCGACAATCTCTCAACGTAACAACCTACGGCTTTGAATATTCCGGCAACTTTAGTAATCTCCCGCCACTCCCTTTTATGGGAGCATATCATTCCACTGAATTGCCCATGATCTTTGGAACATATGCCGATGTTGGTGGAGACGGAACCCGGTTCCAGAAGGATACCAGTGAGGGGATGCAGGATCTTTGGTTGGCGTTCGCAAGGGAACCCGAGAATGGATTGAGTAATGCGAGGTGGCTTAAACATGGGGAGGGCAGCGTGGAGGTACTGGGATATGAGCAAAATGGCACCCTACTTACACATCATGTAACGCCTAAGGCAGGATTAAGAATGCTTGTCTTAATTATACCGGAAATTGAGGAGGGATGTTAATGTTAATATTTGTGATGATGTTATGGATTCCTGAAGAGGTTGTGTCAGTCGTATATAGTTAGTTTATCATTGAATATCCTAGAATGGTCACATCTCTGTTTGTTTATATGTCTTGCAGATCAAGACCACAACGTAGTCCTTCAAAAGGACTGCATTGCATGACCTTGGTGAGAACTAAAGTTGCCTCTCAGACCAGGCGATACGATTGAACGTATACTCAACTGTGTAATAACTTGTATTGAATATTTCTTTCCCATATTAGATATTCGTAGAGTACTGATGCTTTCGATAATGCAATAGAGCTGATGGGCGAAAAGAATGCAGTACGATTCCTCCCTTTTACTGTCCATAAGTTTAAATTGAGACTAGATCCATAGAATATTGTACCTGTAGACCTCCTGAGTGGAATAAATTTGCGATAAATGAAGAGCTGAGAGAAAACATCACGATCATAAAGATTTCGGGACCTGATATGCACGTGATACTAGTCTACCGAGGAAGCGGGTTGGTGTGGGGGAGCTTAGGCCGAGCGAAACTGGTCAGCCTTCATCATCAAAAGCTTCAAACTGTGATTCTTCCACGACAACAACGAATTCTTCGATACCCCTACCATAATTATGTCTGCCCTAAGAATCCTTGTGCCCGTAAAGAGGGTTATTGACTATGCGGTCCGTATCCCCATTCTCTCCCAATTTTCAACAACGAACTCAATCCCTTGATTTCCTCTGCGCAAATAAAAAAATGGCTTCAACTAATCCAAACACAACAGGTCAAACCCCGCGTCAACAAAGCCCAGACAGCTATTGAGACCAATGGCGTCAAACACAGCATGAACCCTTTCGACGAACTCTCAATTGAAGAATCTGTTCGAATTCGCGAGAAGAAATCCGCACCTGGCGGCGTCGAAGAAATCCTCGCATTTTCCGCTGGGCCGACGAAATCGCAAGATATCCTACGCACGGCTATGGCTATGGGTGCCGATCGCAGTTTACTGGTTGAGATGAAAGATGGAGAAGAATTGGAACCATTGGGAGTAGCGAAACTGTTACAAAAGGTTGTGGAGAAGGAGAAGAGCAATTTGGTATTTTTGGGGAAACAAAGTATTGATGATGATGCGGGGCAGACAGGACAAATGTTGGCGGGGTTATTGGGATGGAGTCAAGCGACGCAGGCGAGTAAGGTGGAGTTCAAGGATGGAGATATAGTTGAGGTTACAAAGGAGGTGGATGGCGGAACAGATGTGGTGAGGGGCAAATTACCCATGGTTATCACAACAGATCTGAGATTGAATGAACCGAGATATGCGAGCTTGCAAAGTATCATGAAGGCGAAGAAGAAGAAGCTGGAGAAATCTACACTAGGTGACTGGGGCGTGGATGGTACCAAGAGATTAAAGACTTTGAAGGTTATTGGTATGTCAATCATTTTGTGCAGGCATTTGATGATTCAAGCGCGGGGTGGGTATATTTGCTAACAACATGGATACAGAACCACCGCTAAGACAAGGCGGCGGTAAAGTCGACGACGTGGATGGAATGATCTCCAAATTGAAGGAACTAGGCGCATTATAAAGGGATGGGAAACGATCATGGACGAAAATGGATGTAAATATGTACGAATTACAGGATCAGGCGAGGGAAAGCATTGGGCTTTAGACGCGAGTAGAAGTTAAGAATGATCAAGCCTACCCGCACATCATTTCAATAGATCTATGACGACAAATAGGTTCAGTGCGAAATCAGCGCGCTGTGTATAATGCTTGGAGGAGCTCTCACTGTCGATGATGCTGTGCTTTCTATTCAACCCATTGATATCGTAAATTGATCGGAGCCGGGCTTTGTGAATTACACATTCGATACTGCAAGTGAAAACTAGCCCAACACTACCCAAAAACCGTTGGAGAAGTATCTGTGTAATCTGTACGATACTGGAGAACGAAAGACTGTCCGAATTCCACACCTACCTCCGAAGCCTCCGAGCGACCCAAACTTCTCCATATACCTAATTTGTTGACGTCGATCTTCCCCAACTTATTTACTGTCAAACGATGTCTCCCTACGGATTATCACCTTCCTATAGTAGCACGCTCCGTCCATTACGAGAAGGTTATTTAGAATTTTGTACATCATCCCCTCCGAAGACTCAAGATCATCGTCATGTATCCAGTGCCCAAATGAAAAGTTTAATAGCATCCATATGATTAAATTACGTTTGGCGACATGATATGATGAGATGTCTTGATTCTCTTGGGATTTGGAGAGTTGAGTTGTAGGTGCAGGTATGAGTATAAGTACATCTAGGTGTATTTTTGCTCTCGCTTTACATCATCTTAGGTTTCATAGGACGGTGTACCGGGTAGTTATGCTATTTAGTGTGATGATTTACAAAGTACTCTTGTGCTCCTGAGTCTCACCAATCAGCATTTAGTGCCCATGGCCCTGGAACTGTGAATCAGCAATTTTAAAAATGTATAAACTTTGCACTATCTAATTTTGAAGTTCTGGAAAGTGCTAACTTATTGACCCTTGTTGGTTTCTTTTTTCTATTTGGAGAATTCGATAATGATTTGTTAGTATAGTTCGCATTGTGAGTCGCGTCGAGTCGAGTCTGTTTGTTGGTTGTTGGTAAACAATGTTATTGATCAATAGTGATCACAGCTTTGTTATCGTCATTTATCTATGCAAGACCAATAAATCTGGAGAGAATTTACAGTGTACTTCTTCTCATTGTTCTGATGAACATGTCATTACAGGGCGCAAAAAATATCTTCTATCTCTCCTCCTCCTACATCATACCCGCATGTCCACTTCTGTTAGCACAGTACGGAGTAAGCCACCAACCGGGAGGCTTGGCCCCAGACCGGCCAATTTGCCCAGTCTCCCTAACACAACTCGCTTAGCAAGAAAGCGTTAGGAATGCGCATTGTGTACTAGCAAGACCCCTGAAGAGGACAGGTTACATGAGCTGATTCAAACTGCGTTTTATTTTCTAGATCTGTATTGTTTCTACTTGTGAGCGCGCGGGCGGTGCTGATTGATGGGATTATTCGATAGGGAGTATTGTGTGATGGGGAAGCGGAATCATGAGTGGTGATCTTGGGCGAAGAATGTCGATCTGGGGGGGGGGGGAGAGTGGAGTCCAGTGAGGCCTTGCTGAAAGTATGAATGGAATAAAGTATAGAAGGTGATGAAAAGAGAAGAGTGGGAGATGAGGTTCAGCTTCAGACATCTCTATCTACGGGAACGACGGGGGGTGGAATGAATATATACGAATTTTACCTTCCGAACACAAATGAAACTCGAGATTTGAAACCACATCATTCAAGCCAAAGACGCCTAAACCCACAACGGCCATGTTCCCGGACATTGATAGGAAGAGACGCGATTTCATACTCCCTACAGCATCGTGGCATGAAGCCTTTACCATGTAAAATAACCTTTTTCGGCGTTAAAAGCCATATCGAGTCTTTTGACGTACAAGCTAGAAGTAACAAAATCGCTTCTAGCGCGCTCTTATCTCTGGCTCGTGATCTTCCATTTCATCTCAGAAACGTGCTCCCGAAAATGTTAATTTTTGGTATACAAGAATAAACTTCCCACGGAAAGTTGGCTATTTTACCCATTTTCTCATCTTGCATTTTATGTGCCATCTCTCTCAAACTTTTATCCCGAACGCCATCCCGTTGGTTAAAAACTTTGGGTGCGCTTAATACTTCCTTAGGTCGAGCCTATCATGATATAAGAATTGTCGGTACATGCACGAGGATTCTCTTGCAGAACATTGCATAGGGGAACCGTGAATAAAAAACGACTGAGAAATACGAAATGCACTCACTATTGGTGGAATCGGCGACTTGGTTCCCGCTTGTGGTGTTGATTTTAATCCTCAGATAGTATGTATTATCACACAATGACAACATCATTTTGTCAACCGTGATTTGAGGTTGACACTGTCCTCTCGACCACAGTGAGAACTGAAAAGGTTGAGAATAGAACTAACGAGTCTTCTTCTCAGTATTTCGAGATGGCTACAACTTGGGTCGGTAAAGAATTACCAACTACAAGACTTTGTCATGCTCGTTGTGTTTGTAAGTGATGCCTATTTCAAATCCGTTTTCTGAATCTAACACTTATCATAGCTCTTCTACACTACTCTCATGGTATCTATAAACATTGTATTCACTTTAGATACAAACCTCATTTTACCAGCTGATATTCCACAAGTTCGTGTTCTTAATCCAAAGTCTTTCGAACTGGAGAACTGACAGAAGCTCAATAGCTCACTCCTGAATCAATTGCATCTCGTGTGAAAGGCAGCAAACTCGTGCTTGTAGTGGAACAGTCAATGATCATGACGATTTGGGGTGGCAAAGCTTGTTTGTTGTTGATGTATATGCAGATGATGTATGTCCCCTTCCCCAGCGCCTGTTAGCTATATTAATGTAAGATATAGGCAGGGTATTAAACCCCACAATTTTATTGTAAAACTAGTGGCCATATACGTGGGTACAGGCTTGGTGGTCATGGAAGTTCTTTATTTCGGGGTGTGGTGTAGACCATTCTCAAACTATTGGGCAGTCCCTACTCCGAATGGTTTGTCCAAAGCAATATCTTTTTTTTTCGAGCTGGTAGACTAATATGAAGGTTACAGCACAATGCTCAACAGCTCTCAATCACTTGATAGTAAACGCAACGTTCAATATCAGTTCCGATCTCATGATGTTGTTTGTACCAATGCCGATGGTTATCAAGGCACAGCTCCCTACTATGAAGTTCGTTCCTATCTTCATTTGGTCTCTGTCATTCGTTTGTGCGACTTACTAACAGTGTATTTAGAAAAGGGCTTCTCATCAGCGTCTTCTCCCTTGGCATATTTGCCATCATATCTGCTTCAGCTAATAAATATTATTCCTTCGTACATCCTTTTGGTGTGATGTGGACCTACGTGAGTTCAATTCACTGCTTTGTCTTCAAAACACTAATATTAATTGATGAAGTGGTATATAAGAGAAGCATCAACTGTGATGTTCGTGACCAACATTCCGATGTGTTGGCCGTTAGCAAGAAAACTATTTGGTTGGAGATCATGGTCTGGAACTAGCGACGGCACCAAGTCCAAGAGCAGAGCGGCTCCGAAGAGATACTTCACCAATGCGACCAGTTCAAGATTCGGCAATAAGAGAGACAACTCGATGTATAGAAGTGAAAGTAGAGATGTAATAATACACAGAAGTACCCAAGATGGTTCAGCAATAGGGTAAGTTCCTTGTGCCCTAAACGACTCAGTCGAGATGTTTGGATCTTTCGAATTCGGTCGTCTACATCTTGGAAAATGAACTAACTGTTGACGATAGGCTGGAAATATGGGAAAGTAGGGAAGTGAGTGTAAAAACTGAGCCCAAAAACTTCAGAGAAGAACGTATTAAGAATACGACAGCTGTTACTGTAAATGGGTCGAGAGGCAGTTCGAGCGAACAAGAACAAGGGAGGTGTCTTTCGAGAATAGAGAGTCGACAAGACATAGGCCATGCAGTATAACTGTGTAATTAACAATGAAATGAAAATGTAACCGATATCCCTACATCGTGCACGCCCCTATATTGTGCACACTTTTATTTCTTTTAAAAAAGATATTCTAAATTCAATATATAATCAATCAATTATTGAGTTCTATTAATAATTATAAATAATATATTATATTACTATTTATTTTTTATAAAATAATTAAAATATAAAAATAATTATTATATGTAATATAATTTCAATATTAAAATTATTATTTTAAAAATATTATATATTAATTTATTTATTAATAGGAATAATAAAAATTGATATTTTTTTTTTTATAAATTTGAATATATTTTAATATAAAGAATTGAAAAAATTAAGTTTTTATATTGTAAATTTGATATTATATCAATATATTATTTAAGTTTTTATAAATAATCTTTTTTAAAATAAAAATTAATTATAAATCAAGTATTTTATAATAATTTTTAATTTTTTTAATTATATAATATTATTAATAGATTAATTTTAATTAGAAAACTAAAAAAAAACTATATTTTATTAAATATATATATATAATCAATTATTAAAAAAATCATAGAAAATGTAGCGGGCATCTTAATGATTGTAGTAAAGCTGTTCTATTCTTCTTATCAAGACTACGCTATTATATACACACTTGCTTAGGTAAGCGACGTTACCGGGTAGCGTGCTACAGAAATTAAATATTAGGATTATATAATTAATAATAAGATATTTCTAAAAAAGATTTTTTTTTAAATTTATTAAAAATATAACTAATTTGAATATTAATAAAAAACAGAATTTATTATAATATTGAATTATAATTATATTTAATCTGTAAAATTATTAGAAATCTTATAAAATTTAAGGACTGTTTTTTAAAAAATAAATTCTTTTAAAAATGAATTTATAATATTTTTTTTTTAAAAAAAACTAATAGATTTATTCATTAGGAAATTAGAATATGTTATTTCGTTTATTATTTTTTCATTTTATATATAAATTTATAATATAATAAGTTATAATTTTTAATTATTTATTATTTTTATATAATTTTATTATTATTATATTATAGATTTTTAATATATAAAAGTTTAATTTTCTAATTAAAATTCAAATAATAATTTCAGATTCTTAAAATCTATAAAGAAATATTTTAAAATTCTTTAAAAAGGATTTTTAAATTCTTTTTATTTTTTTGAATATTATATATATTTTTGAAATTGTATTTAAAA